GCAAGCCAAGAGTGATGATGGTTCCCTCTGGGAGGCATCCAGCAGTGGTACTCCAAGTGTTTGTGATCTACACATTGGAACATATATGAAGTTTCCAGTGCTCAATGCTCACTTCTAATGAGCCACATATATCTTGCATATTGCCCAGCTGATTGAGTGTCAACCCATGCACCAGGAGGTCACTGGTTCAATTCCTGGTCAGGGCACATGCCCAGGTTGTGGGCTTGATCCCCAGTGAAGGACATGCAGGAGGCGGCCAATGTTCCCTTTCATCGATGTTTCGCTCTCTCTCTCTCTCTCCCCTTTACTAATACCAATAAAGAAAAAGTATTTTTAAAAAAAGTCTTGCATACTATTTGTTCTGTTTATATTAAAATTGGGTATTGAATCTAAAAAGGGGATTATTTAGCAGATAAATGCAGCTAGACCTGTTTTTAACATTCTTAAGGAAATTACATAGTTTCCATACATCCAAGCCTTTCTGGCTCTCAGAGGTGACCCACTGTCTATAAACTAGAAATGTATACCCAAATAGGAAGAAAAATAATTTTTTTTTTATCCTCACCTGAGGACTTTTTGTTGTTGTTGTTCAGATAGAGTGGGAGGGAGAGAGAGAGAAAGAAACATGGAAGTGAAAGGAACACATCGAGAGGTTGCCACCCGCACGACCCAACCAGGGCCATGGAAAAACCGCAACTGAGGTACGTGCCCTTAGCGGGAACTGAACCCAGATCTCTCCAGACTGCAGGCCGACACTCCAACCACTGAGCCAAACTGGCCAGGGTGGAGGAAGAAGAAGAAGAAGAAAAAAAAGGGTAAATAGATTTGTCAGTCTGTCATCAACATTTGGGTGGCAAACCAACTGTTGAGGTAAAAACCAAAACAAAACTTAATTATATCTGAATAAATAAATTTAACTTATTTCAGCTATTGCTTTCTGAATTAGTAAATTTGATAGAAGTTATTTAATATCTAGACATTCTGAAATAACATGAAATACTAAAACATTAATTGCTAAAAAAAAAAAAATGTTAGGTTCACCTGCTTTTACCTTTTATTGCAGAGGGGATATGGAATAAATTTGGAGCTCTTAATAAATGTCTACTGCTTTGCTAAACATGTGTTTCTTGAAAATGTGTATGCCAATAGAGAAACCTATGTACTATAGGTTATAATATGTTCATATAAGTCTATCTTGGGAATATTGGTTGATTACTTTTTTGGTTATCGTTAGAAATTGAAGTTTCTAAAAGTTAATAAAATTTTTAAAATTATATGATTTTGGTAATAAAAGGCCTGACTGGGAATTGAACTGGTGACCTCCTGGTGCATGGGTCAATGCTCAACTACTGAGCCCCACCAACCAGGCATAAGAGACTTTTTAAAAATCTTCACCCGAGGACATTTTTGCATTTATCTTCAGATAGAGTGGAATGGAGAGAGGGATGGAGAGAGAGAAACATCAATGTGAGAGAGAGATATCGACTGGTTGCCACCCACACAACCCCAACTGGGGCCAGGGACAAACTGCAACCAAGGTACATGCCCTGAACGGGACCGAACCCGGGTCTCTCTGGTCCACTGGCTGATGCTCTAACCGCTAAGCCAAACCAGCCAGGGCCGGCTTAAGAAACATTTTAACTGAAAGATGACTTTGGGTTACTCCAATGGGTCCTGGAATACCTCTGTGTATTCTCATTTAGAAAAAGTTTTTAACCCTGGCCAGTTTGGCACAGTGGTTTGAGCTTCGGTCTGCAGACCAAAGGGTTGCGGGTTCAATACCTAGTCAAAGTCAGTCATGTGAGAAGCAACCAACTAATGTGTCTCTCTCACATCAATGTTTCTTTCCCTCTCTCTCTCCCTCCCTTCCTCCCGCTCATTCGCTCTATCTACAACTGAATGAAAAAGTATCGTTGAGTGAGGATTAAAAAAAAAAAAGATTTTAAAATAATAACATGCTTGAAATTACATGGGGAACTTTGCCAAGTCCAAATAATAATAATAACTGTCCTATTTATATACATTTAAAAAATATATCCATTTCAAAAGATTTCAGCTTGCCCTAGGGAAAAACCTGCAAAAATTTAAAGTCAAGTTCAAACAGGGAGCTCCCAGGGATAGCAGGTACCCTGTCAGTGACAAGGAGCAAACCAAGAGTAATGGTTCCTTATGGGGGCATCTGACAGTGGTACTTCGGATATTTGTGGTCAACACATTGGGAGTTTATAAATTATTTCCAATGCTCAATACACACTTCCAATAAGCCACGTGCACCTTATTTACAAAAAGATTGTTGTCTTGGAATATTATATCTTACCAAAAAAACCCAACAAACCCACAATTTTTTTTTTAATTAATTGCATTATAATAAAATCTATAACCATGCCACTTTAAGTTCTGTTATGTATAAACAGTCATTATTTCACTCTAATACATTTACAAGTATACTGTATTTTTAGAAAAACCATATAAGAGACTTTGACTTCCTCTAAATTACAGGTTTCTAAACAGGTCATATCTTCAAATTGAATAAAAATGTATAAAACTGTAAAGAATAACTAAATTCATAAAAATACTGGAGAATAAACAAAAAAATAATAATGGGGCTAAATAAAGTGAAAATAATTATTACTCATGACTGTTTGAAATATTACTGATCTTTAAATCTTTGTTTTCTAAAGGGAGATGGTTTATTATCAGTGGCTCATTAATGAGGTTATAGAAACTAGTAAATTCTTTAAAAAATGTTTTTATTTATTTAAGAGAGGAAGGGAGAGATAAACACATTGATTGGCTGCCTCCTGCAAGCCCCCCACTGGGGATCAAGCCAGCAACTCAGGCACATGGCCTCAGGAGGAATCAAACCCAGACCTTTCAGTCCATGGGATGGTGCTAAATCCACTAAGCCATACCAGCCGGGCATATGGAAACTAATAAATTAATAACACTCATTTAACAGTGTGCCCCAGAAGATACAGAGTTCAAAGACCGTAACTTACAACCTGGAGATTTTTGTCCACTGGGAAAGACGTTAATTAAAGACGCTCTCAAACAGTGTTGGAAGAGGCCTTACCCTATCAGATGCCTAATCAGGAATGGGTATTTGCCCATCTCTGACACTTGTCTCCATTTACAGTGGAGATCAAAGACTTCTCAAGGATGAAAAGCCCAAACATCAGAAATAGTCAGCCATCCTGAGACACCAACAAGGCCTATCTATATACCTACAAATTAATATTACTACTGGTATTAATAATTTTTATACAGTGATACCCTCGGTTCTCGAACGCCTCGGTTTTCGACCAAATCGGTATTCGACCAGGAGATTCGAGAAACTTTTGTCTCGGAATCTGAACAAATATTTGGAACTCAAACTTCCGAGATGAGCCGAGTTGAACCGAATGGCGTTCATTCGGCCCAGCGCGCCTTGCTGGCGCCATCAGTGTGAGTGCAGAGAGAGAGTCACGCTTTGTGGAGAGAGTCACGCTTTGTGGAGTCACGCTTTACACTGAATTTAACCCTTAGACATACTGTACACTTTTATTTCTTGTTGAGACTTATGTTTTTCTACATATTATATACAAATTAGGCCAGCAAATAGGCATTTTCTGGGGCTTGGAACGAATTAATCCAGTTTCCATTATTTCCTATTGGGTTTCATTGCTTCGGTTCTCGAACAATTTGGTTCTCGACCGTCCTCCTGGAACGAATTATGTTCGAGAACCGAGGTATCACTGTATTTGTTAGGCTTTCCTGAAACCCTTCATATGTAACTCAACTGTGAATAATTACTGAAGGTATACAAGAAAACTTTTTGTATTATCAATCCTCTTTTTATGGTTTCTCTTGAAATTTAGAAGAAAATTGCTATTTCAAAAAGTTAGTAAAAAGAAATATAAAGAAACTTTACATATAAATGCCAAAACCTAATTATGAAACATGTCTCACATCTGTGTAACTTCTATCCTGGGTGAACTCTCTGATGACCCTGAAGGCTCTTGAGTTCTGACTGAAGCTCTTACCACATGTCACATTTATAGGGTTTCTCTTCTGTGTGGATCCACTGATAAACATAAAGATGAGCTGCACATGAAACCTTTCCACAGAGCATATTTGTAGTGTTTTTCTCCACTGTGGACTTGTTGATGAACTTGAAGAAGTGATGTCTGACTGAAGCTCTTACTACATACAGCACATCGGTAGGGTCTGTCTCCAGTGTGGACTTGCCAATGAGTTTGAAGATGAGAACTACGACTGAAGTCCTTCCCAAGCACAGCACATTTGTAGAGTTTCTCTCCAGTGTAAACTCGTTGATGTGAACTATTACTGAAGCCATTACCATGTGTATCACATTTGTGTCTTGCCACTTATATGAGATCTCTGATGGACCTGAAGGTGGAAAATCTGAACGAAGCCCTTACCACAAGTTTCATGTTTGTATGGCTTCTCACCTGTGTGGACTCACTGATGAACCTAAAGATGTGAGGAATGACTGAAGCTCTTACCACACATGCCACATTCATATGGTTTCTCTCCTGTGTGGATTCTGATGAACATGAACACTTGAGAACCACATGCAGCCTTTCGCACACTGAGCACTTTTGTAGGGTTTGTCTCTAGTGTAGACTCGCTGATGAACCTGCAGATGTGATGCCCAGCTAAAGCTCTTACCACACACAGCACTTATGTAGAGTTTCTCTCCAGTGAAGACTCACTGATGTTCTTTTACACATGAACTATGACCAAAACCCTTACACATGTCTCACATATTTATGGCTTTGCTCCTGTGCAGACTTGCTGATAAGCTTGAACCCATGAGGTATGACTGAAGCTCTTTCCCCACTTGCCACATTTATGGGGTTTCTTTTCTATTTTTCTTTATTGATTTTAGAAAGGAAGGGAGGAGATAGAAACATAGATGAGAGAGAACATAAATTGACTGCCTCCTACATGCCCCCTACTAGGGATTGGGTCCACAACCCAGGCATGTGCCCTGACTGGCAAAAGAACTGGCAACCGCTTGGTGCATGGATTGATGTTTAACCACTGAGCAACACTAGCCGGGCTATAGGGTTTATCTGTGTGGATCCTCTGATGAACATGAAGACATGAGCTCCACTTCAAGCCTTCCCAAACTCTTCATATTTGAAGGGTTTTTAGACACTGTGAACCTGCTGATGGTCTTGAAGACTTGAGATATGACTGAAGCTCTTATCACACACACTACATTTGTGGTGTTTTTCTCCAGTGTGGACTCGTTGATGGGATTGAAGATATGAACTCCGACTGAAGGTTTTCCCACACACAGCACATTTGTAGGGTTTCTCTCCTGTGTGGACTCGCTGATGAGCTTGAAGACTTGCAGTCTGACTGAAGCTCTTACCACACAAGCCACATTTGTAGGGTCTCTCTCCTGTGTGGATCCTCTGATGAACGTGAAGACTTGAGCTCACCATGAAGCCTTTCCCACACTCTTCACATTTGTAGGGTCTCTCGCCAGTGTGGACTCGCTGATGGTACTGAAGATTTGAGGGCTGACTGAAGCTCTTACCACACACAGCACATCTGTAGGGTTTCTCTCCTGTATGGAATCGCTGATGGGCTTGAAGATGTGAACTTCGACTGAAGCTTTTACCACACACAGCACATTTGTAAGGTTTCTCTCCAGTGTGGACTCGCTGGTGGGCTTGAAGATGTGAACTCTGACTGAAGCTCTTTCCACACACATCACATTTGTAGGGTTTCTCTTCTGTGTGGATCCTCTCATGAACAGGAAGATATGAGCTCCACACGAAGCCTTTCCCACACACAGCACATTTGTAGGGTTTCTCTTCAGTGTGGACTCGCTGATGAACCTGCAGATGTGATGTCTGACTAAAGCTCTTACCACACACAGCACATTTGTAGGGTTTCTCTCCAGTGTGGACTCGCTGATGAACCTGCAGATGTGATGTCTGACTAAAGCTCTTACCACACACAGCACATTTGTAGGGTTTCTCTCCAGTGTGGATTCGCTGATGCGCTTGAGGACTTGAAGTCTGACTGAAGCTCTTACCACAGACATCACATTTGTAGGGATTCTTTCCAGTGTGGACTTGTTGATGTTCTTGAAGATGTGAACTGCGACTAAAGACTGTACCACATTTCTCACATTTGTATGTCTTCTCCACAGTGTGGACTCGCTGATGGGCTTGAAGCTGTGAACTCCGACTGAAGCTCTTCCCACACACAGCACAATTGTAGGGTTTCTCTCCAGTGTGGACTTGGTGATGAACTTGAAGATGTGAACTCTGACTAAAGCCTTTCCCACACACAGCACACTTGTAGGGTTTTTCTCCTGTGCTGACTCTCTGATGAATTTGCAGATGTGAGCTTTGACTAAAGTCCTCACCACAATCATCATTTCTACTGCATTTCTCTTCTGTGGAAACACTTTGATGAGTGCAAGGAACATAGTTGTAACTGATGCTGTCCCCATACTCACTTCGCATACAGTGTTTTGCTCCTAGGTGCAACAGCTGATGAAGTTCAAGACTGGGGCCAAGGCTACCGCCTTTTTGATTCTCATCAGAAGTTTGCTCTCCTGAGTGGATTATACTATACTGGAATAATTTCTTCATGAAGTCCTTTCCACAGTCCTTGTGGTTATAAGAGTTCTTACTATTGTGTACTTTCTGACTACCTTCATGGTCATGAGAGGTCCTTTGCATAACACAATGATCACACTTGCACAATTTACATCTTCCGTCAACCTGCTCACACCTACTCTGATAATTCTGTGACTCTCTCTGATACATTTTCTTCCAGAATTCAGAGGTGATATTAATTGGAAATTCTTGATTTTTTATATTATTGGAACTTTGAAATTCCCTTTGAAGCTTTGTTACATAGTTCTCATCTTCAGAAACTTGAATAGATTCTCCTGCCAACAAATGACAGAAAGAATCACCTTGTTTTGGCAAATCAAACTTCTTGCCTTGCATATTTATTACCAAGTCTTGATTTCTGGTTAACTTATTTAAAAGTAGTTCCCATATCTCACTGCGCATAAAGTCCTCATGAAAAATGTAACTTAATCCAACTTCTTGAAGAGTCTCTATTTCATTTTGATTCCAATGTCCTGAAAGGATAAAGAGAATTCAGAGATTAAAAGTGAGGACAAATGAATGTCTGTTCAGAGATAAAAAGTATTTCACAGGTCAAGTACACTGGGATACCATATTCAATCAGCTTGATCTTGTCATTGGCTTTTTCACATCTATGAAAACAAAGAGTTGATGAGTAGGGTCCTATTCACTAAGCGTTAATGATACTCATTTCGAACTACACCAAGATTTACATATAAGGTCAAAATTAGAAATACATGGCTACAGCAGAGGATGTTCTCAGCAAAGTGAAAACAATATATAATATTCAACTAGTGAATATTATAACTAGAAAACACTAGAAAACTCATTCCCATGACACAACTTATGGGAGTAAAATTTCTGATAATTGTTGCCACTTAATTTGGCTGAATTTTCTGATGAATGTGAATGGCTAGTATTATCTTGCAGGTTTTGTGCATATGTATTTGAACATATGAAAAGCTGCCGTGGTCACCAGCATACAGAATGTTCCCCCATAATCCTGCCTCCTGATGTCCATACCTGTCAAAAACCTTCCCACAATATTATCAGGATTGGTCTGTGAAGCCAATAGAATATGGCAAAAGTGAAAGTACACCACTTCCAAGGTTAGCTTATAAAACACATTGTGGTTTCTGCCTTCCACTCTCTTGGGTGTAACCAGCTGGGGGAAACCAGCTGCTATGTTTGGAGGACAATGAGGCAGCCCGCAGAACTGAGGTCTTCAGACAAAGACCATGTGAATGAGTCCATCTCGGAAGCTAATCATTCAGTCCATTAGCCTTGAAAGTCCTGAAGCTCTGCTGGACTCCTTGACAGCAACTTTATGATCCACATCACCCAGCTAAGCTGCCTCCAGATTCCTGACTCACTAAAGTATAAATAAATACTTGATGCTGTAAGATGCTAACTTTAGGAGTAGATTGTTACGCAGGTATAAATAGCTATACAAGTACCATAAAAATCATACTTAGATTACACATTCATCAGAAGAGTAACAATGTTCTGAAATAATCCTTCAGTCACATTGGTTTTTCCTCCACTTGTGAGCTATCTCCAGGGGGAGTGAAGACAGTGAGATCCACTCTCTGTGAGCTTTTGTTTATAAGAATTCTTAAGGAAAAAGAAACCCTTTAGTTCGTGCATCTGTTCAGTAAAATCAGCCCTCAAGGATATTCTTCATAGATGAAGCAGGGCAAATAGATGGATAGATACAATGCAAAACCCAGGGATACTTTGATGTTGCCAAAAGAACTTTTAATAAGAGAGATACATGTAGAATATGCCCGGTTGCAAGTTCAATACCCATGTATGGCACATACAAGAATCAACAAATGCCCTGGCTCAGCGGTTAGAATGTCAGCCTGAGGACCAAAGCATCATGGGTTCAATTCTGATCAAGGACATGTACCTCGGTTGCGGTTAGGTCCCTGGCCCTGGTCGGGGTTATGCAGGTAGCAATCAATCAATCTCCCTCCCTCCCTCCCTCCCTCTCTATATGAAGAAAAGTGGAAAAATAACCTCGGGTAAGGATTTAAGAAATAAATAATTTTTCTTTAAAGGCAAAGCAGTTTTTAGTCTACCTGGTATGAAAGAAAATAGAAAACAGTTGTAACTGGGACAGTAATTCCCAAGGTGAGTGTGTACAGAAAAATGAGGGAGTGAGTCAAACAGAGCCAGCATCTAACCTTGACTGTGTGAAAACGTCACAAAGCATGAAGACACAAGCACAGAAATGATAAAAGGACTGAGAAGACGTTCCCCTACTATTCACAACAGGCAGGTTCTCATCTATCAGATTAACAGCTAGATTATTCTGTGGTTGTTTGTTTGTTTGATTTCGTTTTTTATTTTTAGGGTTTATATACAATAGGGATGATTGTCATTACTGTATTTTAGGCTGGATTTACCTCAGGTATAGACAAAGTAAATAAATAAAAGAAGACTGAAGTGAAGAACAGAGAGAAATGAAGGGAAGGAAGGGAGGAGAGAGGAAGGTAGTCAGGGAGGACGTCACCAGGTAAATGGATGGGGCAGTGCTCACAATGGTAATAGACACTGCAGGTTAAGACAAGCTGTGAGGGAGCCTTTTCACTACCATTCAGATGGAACCACCTGACCATTCATCAGCAAATTCCCTCATTCATACCTTCACTCACTCATCAAACAAATATATATATATTTTTATCCTCAACCGAGGACATTTTTTGATATTCCGTTCAGATACAGTAGGAGGGAGAGAGAGAGAAACATCGACGTGAAAGGGACACATCAAGTGGTTGCCACCCACACGACCCAACCAAGGCCGGGGACAAACTGCAACCGAGGTACGTGCCCTTAGCGGGAACCGAACCCAAGTCTCTCCAGACCGCAGGCCAATGCTCTAACCACTGAGCCAAACCGGCCAGGGCTCATCAAACAAATATTTCATGAACATATCCTCTATGGTAAGTCAAGTCTATCAGAAGCATCTGGTATACAAAAATAAAGAAAAGAGACACAATCCTTGCTCTCCTGAATTTACACTCTAATGGGGAGAGAAAGATTATATGCAAGTAAACAAAATATAATTCATTAATATATAGGCTGGTAATTATTATTACCCCCGTAAAAAGGCAGAGCAGGGGGCTGGGGATTTTATGGAGAGTGGTCAGAGCAGGCTTTTGTGATGAGATGACCTCTGAGCTAACACAGATAAGTGAAGCAGAAGGCAGGAGAATGTACCGGTGAGAACATGGAGGAGCAAGAGAAAGGCCATGAGGGAGAGACACAGTCATCATGTCTGAAACACAGAAGGCAGTCTTCTGTGGCCCAAGGGCTAAGGATGGGAAATTAAGCCAGAGAGATGGTGGGTGATCAGATCAGGAAGAATCCTGAAGGTCACTCTAAGGATTTTGGATTGTATGAGTGAGATGGGAAGTCAGGGAAGGGTAAACAGAGAAGTGACCTGATCTGACTGATATGATCTGGTTGCTGTTCGAGAACAGACTATAGGAAGCCAACGCAGAAGCAGGGAGGCAGTGAGAGAGCTGTTGTAAGTAAGCACGTAATGAATGACGGGGGCTTGGGCGAGGGAGGCTCCCCTTGGGTAGTGAGAAGGACAGCACCTGGGCTGTGCTGTGGAAGGACTCAGAGCTGCCTGGTTCTCATCTGAACACCCACCTCCTTGGGTTTCTATCTTTATCATCTGAACCTACTCTTCTCTCCCCAAGTGCAATGTACTATCCAATTTGAAGGGTTGATGTACTGTGAAAAGTAAATGGTTTATATACAAGGTGGATACATTAAAGGCCAAAATCTTAATTCCAACAGTACAATCCTCATGCACTCTAAGTAGTAGTATTCCAAATTCTGAATGTTACCTGTATACAACAGGTGATCACATGACCATCCTTTGTGATTTACTCACAATTTTGGTTACACTGTATGCAGTTCCAAATAGGAGCTATGCTACTTTCATTCTATTTGGTTCATACAATAAAGATGTAACTCAATAAAGATTTTAAACCCCACCAAGATACCACAACTGCAATTTGCAAAGACTAGGAAAAGTATAGACAAGATACACCACAGGACTTAGGAAATTTAAATACAAATTTGGAGACACATTTCAAGTCCAAGAATCTTAAACATTTGAAATCAAAATCCTCTTGGGACCTGACATTCAGTTATAGAAGGCACCTGTCCTCACCCACTGAGACCAGGTTCTGGAAGTTCTCCAGCATCACGTCTCGGTACAGCTTCTTCTGGGACAGGTCCAGCAGCCCCAGCTCCTCCTCGGTGAAGACCACAGCCACATCCTTGAATGTCACTGTCTCCTACAACATTAAACACAGGCAATCTCAATCCAATGACCAACGGCTACTGGGAGGGACTCAGCACCGCGTGGGCAGAGGATGGGTGGGAAGTTGTTCTGGATTCTGAGGGCCTTGGGTCCACTTTATGGAGTTTCCTCTTTTTCTCAACTCAGCATGTTGATTTCATATATTAATTTTCCACACTCCCATCAACTGTGCAATTGGCCCTGGCGGATGTATCTCAGGTGGTTGAGCATCATCTCATGCACCAAAAGTCACAGGTTCAATTTACAGTCAGGGTAAATGCTGAGATTGCAAACTCAATCTCCAGTAGCAGGGGTGCAGACAGCAGCCCACTGATGTTTCGCTCTCTCTCTCTCCCTCTTCCTTCTTATCTATTTAAAATCAATAAAAACATATATATATTTTTAAATGTGGAAGTAGCCCAGGAGGTGTGGCTCAGAGTTTGAGCATCTACCCATGTATCAGGAGGTCACTGATTCGATTCCCAGTCAGGGCACATACCCAGGTTGTGAGCCAAATCCCCAGTGGGGGCATGTAGGAGATGGCCAATCGAAGTTCTTTCTCATCAATGTTTCTATTTCCCTCTCCCTTCCTGTCTCTAAAATCAGTTAATTAAAAAAAAAAAAAAAAAAGGAAGTAAAAAAGAATCTCTGTACTTTTTTCTTAAATAATTTTCCTTTATTGATTTGAGAGAGAGGAAGGGGGAGAGAGGGAGAGAAGGAGAGAAGGAGAGAAGGAGAGAGGGAGGGGGGAGGGGGGAGAGAGAGAGACAGACAGACAGACAGACAGACATCGATGAAAGAGAACATTGACCATCTGCCTCCCGCATGCCCTTGACTGGGGATTGGGCCCACAACCCGGGCATGTGCCTAGACCAGTAAACTCTGGTGCATGGGTTGACACTCAACCACTAAGCCACACCGGCTGGGCAGTCCCTGTAATTTTCAATGGTATAATTGTGAGTATTCGTACAATAAGCACCCTAAAACTGTAACTCTTGAATCATGAAGGACATACATTTTATAAGTTGATTAATACCATCAAATTGTTTTAGAAAGTTTAGGCCAATTTACTTCGAACAGGGTCTGATAGCTTTTTTTTTTTTTTTTTAATACTTTTTCTTTATTGATTTTAGAGAAAAAGGGAGAGGGAGAGGGAGAGGGAGAAGGAGAGGGAGAGATAGAAACAGATGAGAACAAACATTGACTGGCCGCCTCCTGCATGCCCCCCACTGAGGACCTGGCTCACAACCTGGGCACGTGCCCTGACCGGGAATTGAATTGGGCAACCTCTGATGTATGGGTCGACATTCAACCACTGAGCCACATCAGCTGGGAGGGTCTGATATCTTTTATCTTTCCTTTCTCACTCACACATTCACTAAGCCTGGGAACTGTCACTTTGCTACAAACTAACTGGTCACACTTCCCGAGGAGCTATAAAATTGGTCCTCTGTGCTCTCAAGGCACATGCCACATATCTATGACAATGTTTATGACTTGGCCTCTGTTAACACTTGGTGGGTGAGGAGTTCATTACTTTTGGGCCAAGCTGAGTGTTCTGGCTCTTTAATAGGCCTATTCAGCCTGGCCGGTGTGGCTCAGTGGTTGAGTATTGACCCATGCACCAAGGGGTTGCTGGTTCGTTCCCTGTCAGGGCACATTCCTGGGTTGTGGGCCAATTTCTCTGTGGGGGACATGCAGGAGGCCACCCGTTGATGTTCTCTCTCATCAGTGTTTCTATCTCTCTCCCTCTCTCTTCCTCCCCCTTCCTCTCCCTCTAATATCAATAAAGAAAAAAATTTTTTTTAAAAAAGGAAGAAAAAGACAGGTGGTTCATTATCACAAGGAGGGAGTGGAAGTCCAGGGCCCCACATTGTCTCCACTGACACGGTAGTGGTGGAAGGTACTCAATAACCCTTGGTAGGGAGGCTAGGGTGGCTTGGGCCAGGTGTGGGGCTGCAGTTTCTTTTCATGGTATCTGGGAGGACAAGAGCAGTTACTATCTAAAAGACAGTGCCAAGGGGTACTGAGTACCTTCCACCACTGCAGTGTCAGTGGAGACAGTGTAGGGCCCTGAACTTCTACTCCCTCCTTGTGATAATTAGCCACCTGTCTTTTTCCCTGCTTGGGTGGTGTCAGACAGGTCCTCCTTTGGCAGGGAGGCTAGGGTGGTCCTTACAGTCTGGCAGGGGTGGGTGTGGGGCTGCAGTTTCTTCCCATAGTATTTGGCAGGACAGAGTAGTTACTGTCTAAATGTTTGCTGTCTGGCTAGGCTGTCCCTTTCCTGGCTCTTTGACTAGAGAGAGGCATTCTTGGGGTTTTTGGGTCTGCACGTATTGCTATTTTCATTACCATATACTCCAGCACTCAGTCTTAGATACATGAGGCAAGAAGAAACCCCAAGGAACTGACTGCCATGTCATTCCTCAAGTCTTGGGGTCCCTAGCCGGTCTCCTTCTCTCTTTGTGTCATGTTTGTTTGATATTCAGTGTCCAAGAGTTTCAGCTGTACTTAGTTTTAGTGGGAAGAATAGGGAAAGTACACCTCTTCCATCTTTCCAGAAGTGGCGGTCTCCAGAAATACTTTTTGGGGACAGAGCATATATGTAGGAAAACTGTTACTGCAGTGCTCTCTCAAACATCTTTTTAAAAACCTTAAATCACGTAAATGCCAAGGAATAGTAAATTTAAGAAACATTAGCCCTGGTCAGTTTGGCTCAGCGGTTAGAGCGTGGCCTGCGGTCCAGAGAGACCAGGGTTCGGTTCCCGCTACACATACCTGGGTTGCAGTTTGTCCCTGGCCCTGGTTGTGTCGTGTGGGTGTCGTGTGGGTGGCGACCACTCGATGTGTCCCTTTCATATCGATGTTTCTCTCTCTCTCCCTCCCATTCTATCTGAACAAAAAATGGAAAAATTTCCTCAGGTGAGGATAAAAAAAAGAAACATTAATTTATTGAAATATGATGTAATCATTAAAAATGCAGGGGAGCCCTGGCCGGTTTGGCTCAGCAGTTAGAGAGTAGGCCTGTGGTCCAGAGAGACCTGGGTTCGGTTCCCGCTAAGGGCACATACTTTAGTTGCAGTTTGTCCCCGGCCCTGATTGGGTTTTGCGGGTGGCAGCCACTCGATGTGTCCCTTTTACATCAATGTTTCTCTCTCTCTCTCCCCCTCCCATTCTATCTGAACAGAATATGGAAAAATGTCCTTGCATAAGGATTAAAAAATAAATAAATAAATAAATAAATAAATAAATAAATAAATAAATAAAAAAAAATGCAGGGGAGAGAATCTTCTGATTCTGGTTAGAATAGAGGAACTGGTACTGAACACTCCCTCCTACCACAAGTAAGTAGGAGACACAGAGACAACACTTATGAGACAACTGTTCTCAAACTGAAAGCATACTCCTTTAATCCCAGAAATAAAGGGAACAAAAGAGACCAGCCCTATGATCACCTTGGATTTCTGCCTGTAGATAATTTTTGACCCGCAGGTATAGGAAGAGGGAACCCAAACAGAGCCTCCCTGCGTGGAGACAGAAATCAGAGAATGGAGAGGCCAAGGTATCTGGAAATCCCAGGGTAGAGTTCCAGAAGGAAGGGAGTTATGCAGAAGAAGAGCACTTGTAATCAGCACCAGCATCCCTATGAGTCTACTACTAAAAACTAAACTGTGCTCAGACAGGGTGAAAATGCACAAGCCCAGCCATGAACGACTGAGGGACCACGGGCTGAACAGTTCTCAGAACTTAGTAGGACTCAGAGGTGTTTGAATTCCAAACAGCCCAAGTGAAAGCCCTCACTGATCAGTAGGGACATTCAACAGCAGCTCCGAAGGACCATGAGTTAGTAAAAGGGCTAAAATATCAGTAGAAGACAGTTTCTCAAAAGTGGCGCTACTGGCCTTTTACATCTTTGTTGTGAGGGGGTGGGGTGGTGGTTATCCTGCACACTATAGAACATTCAGCAGCATCCCTGGCCTCCGTCCAATACTTTTCAGTGGTACCCACTCCTCAAGTCATGATAATCATAAATGTCTACAGACATTGCCAAATGTCCCTAGACTCTAGACTCACCCTAACAAAGTTTAAAAAATCTCGAAAGAATCAAACCGAACCAGGGGAACATACAATTATCTGAGTATAAATAGAAAGGGTGTTTTAGAAAATTCAACATTCATTCATGATAAAAACTCTAAGCAGCAACTTCTTTTTTTATGTTTTTATTGATTTCTTAGAGAGAGAGAGAAAGGAAGAGAGAGTCAGAAACATTGATGTGAAGGAGAACATCAATCGGCTGCCTCCTGCACGTCTCCCACTGGGGACCGAGCCCGCAACTCAGGCATGTGCCTTGACTGGGAATGGAACCAGGACCTCTCAGTCTGTGGGACACCGTTCAATCCACTGAGCTACACCGGACAGGCTAAGCAGCAACTTCTTAACCCCAATAAAGGCATCTACTAAAACTCATCAGGTAATGGTGAAAGACTGAATGCTTTCTGCCTAAGATTAGGAGCAAGGTTGTATATGGCTAGAACTTCTATTCAAAACTGCTTTAGCAGTCCTGGCCAGTACAATAAAGAAAGAAAAAGAAGTCAACATAATGGGAATGGGAATGGAAATACAACTTTTTTTTTGTTAATCCTCACGCAAGGATATCTTCCCATTGATTTTTAGATAGAGTGGAAGGGAGTAAGGGAGGGAGGAAGAGAGAAAGATAGAGAGAGAGAAACATCATGTGAGAGAGATAAATCTATCAGTTGCCTCCCATACAACCCCAATTGAGGCTGGGGATCGAACCTGCAACCCAGGCATGTGACTAAAAGAAAATTCGGATGAATGGAAATGAGACATAGGGAACCTGGGCACAGCCATTTATTTCAAATCCATTAAATCTTACCACTAAACCTCATTCTCCTATGTGTGGATCCCCAGAAATGCTTTTCTCACAATTTTGTACAAGGACCCCATTTTCACTGGCAATAATAGTAAATAACAAAAAGAAAAAAAATAATTTTGGTACATTTAATAGAACAGAAATTTGTTCAGTAAATATTTCTTAAATGAATAGACTGTTGTCCTGATACTATTATTAAAGAGAATATTGTTATTTCCCCAGAGGGAAAAAAAAAGGAATGCCAAATCACAAAAAACTCAAGTGATAACATTAAATGAAAACTAAGATTGAAAATTGTACATATGCTGTGGCTGTAATTACATAAAACATAGCATGGGGGAAACAGTTGACTCAGCAGAGTAGTTATGTGGCTTTTGCAACTTGTTTGATATCTATGAATTTCTATACTATTATTTGCCAATGAAGATGATAAAATAAAACCGAAACTATACACAAAAGCTAAAGACAAAAATAAAACATAGAACCAATATAAAAACTAGTAACTGGCACATAACAAACACTTGTTCTTCTCCTTCCCAAGGAAGAGAAAAATGATGTGCCTGACATTTGAGAAAGGATTTTGAGATAAAAATCAAAACTCAACTCACCTGGCACTTGGTCATTTTCTCCTGCTCCTTCTGGGGAAGCGCAGAGTCCTGGGAAGGCAGAAGTGGCAGAGGAGAGAGAAGCCATGAGACATAGGCCCTGAAACATTCTGATGCTCTGGGTGAATTATGAAAAGTGAGCCCTCCTTTGGCTCATATCACTAACTCTCAGCTATGTTCAGTGAACAACCTTCCAACTCTAAGCAGTAAGGCCAACACGGAGTCCCTTGAAGCTCCCAGGGTTATCATTCTCAGCCTGGGTATTGTGGGAAATGAAAGGCAGTGGAATGTACTGGCCATGACCTTGACAGTAAACTCTGAGGCAAAAAGGTCTGGGTAGGGCATAGCATCAGATTTCCTCTATTGCTTTTTCTGACCCACTAGCTCTTTGTGCCTATTTTCACATCTATAAAATGGGGATAATACCATTCTCTAGCTCAGAGCGTTAAGAGGTTTCAGTCAATACATGCAAATAAGCATGCAATACCTGATAGCTACTCATGTTCATAGGTCTTCCTACTTTAGGCAGACGTACTCCAATTGGACCAAGAGCAATATATCCACTTCTCAACCTGGAAGAAATACCCGTCCACAATGTCCACTATCCAGTGGGGGCCGTGCAGGATGCGGCCAATCAATATTCTCTCTCATCGATGTTTCTGTCTCTCTCCCTCTCCCCTTCCCTCTCTCTAAACTCGATAAAAGAAAAAGATATTTTTTTAAAAAAAGATAGTTAAAAAAGAGAAGGGCTGGAAGATACTACAATTGTGTCTCTGACCCAGGATGAAATCAGTATACATCCTCCAGGCACCAGGTGGGGATGAGACCCATCCTTTCTTTTTTTAAAATATTTTTTAATTGATTTGAGAGAGAGAGAGAGTGGAAGGGAGACAGATAGCAACATGGATATGAGAGAAAAACATCCATCGGCCGCCTCCTGCATGACCCCTACTGGGGATCGAGCCTGCAACCCAGGCATATGCCCTGACCAAGAATTGAACCGGGACCTCTCAGTCCATGGACAAAGCTCAATCCACTGGGCCATGCTGGCCGGGCTCCCATTTCTTCCTTTAAAAAAGGGTTGGGGAGCCCTGGCCGGTTTGGCTCAACGGTTAGAGCGTCAGCCTGCGGTCCACAGAGACCAGGGTTCGGTTCCCGCTAAGGGCATGTACCTTGGCTGCAGTTTGTCCCCAGCCCTGGTTGGGTCGTGTGGGTGGCGGCCACTCGATGTGTCCCTTTCACATCGATGTTTTTCTCTCTTCCTCTCTCTCCTTCCCGCTCTGAGTAAAAAAAAAAAATAGAAAAATGTCCTCGGGTGAGGAAAAAAAAAAGGGTTGGGGAGGGGGAGGCTGGCCTGTGGGGCTGAGTTAGTTGAGCCCAGTCCCATGCATGAAGAGGTCGCTGGTTAGATTCCTAGTTAGGGCACATGCCTGGGTTGCATCCTGACCCTCAGTAGGGGGTGTGCAGGAGGCAGTCAATCCATGTTTCTGTCTGTCTCTCTCTAAAAAAAAAACCCCACAATAAAAACATGTATATAAAAATAAATAAATGAAAATAAAAAACGGGAGTGGGGAGTCATTAGCAATCCACTAACAGCCCACCATCCCCCACTCTCCGAAGTGAACAGAGATGGGCCAGTAGTGCTGCAGCTGGAACTGACCACATAAAATCCCAGCACAGAAGCTTTCAGGGACTGAGCGCTTCTCCAAAAGAAATAATAGATTGATAACAACCAGCCACCTTTTAGCTTGTGCCGGGAAAGCTTCCAAGCATTTTCACATCTTTTTATTTCACCTAAATCTCACAGCATTCCTACTAAGGAGGTACTGCTGAGGCAGGATCGTAAGAAGCTAGAAAAATTCCTTGGCAAGTGCAATGGGGAAACAGAGATAACTGAACAAACTAGCAAAACAATTTACAGCCAGATACAGAAGGTCACCCAAGCAGAAAGTCCCGGGGCAAAACTAGTGTGGGACCTGCCCTTACAGTGATGACGATTCATATAGCTGGTCATTGCTTTAGGCCTTTCCCCTGACCTTTCCTCCCTAGAAATATTACCTAGGCCTCAGTAGCATTTCAGGTCCATGCCCAGAAAAGTTGCACTATCAGGCCAGGGAGGTCAGGGACAGCTGTAATGACTAAGGACTCCTAGCCCTGGCGCCGGACAATCAGGGGAGACCACCATCCTGAAAGGGCACACCTGGAAAAGCTGACGAATATTCTATTGAGATCCCCTAAAAATCCCACCTTTGGAAAGCAGATAAAACCCCCCAAGGTAAAGAAAGCCAGCCCAGGGCTCTCTTTGGAGCATGCCCCGCCTTATCTCACGAGGGAAGTTTTTATTTCTTTCTCCTAAATTCTTAGTGTCCCCAGCATTACTAAATACACTCTTAAAATCACCCCCGCTCTTACTGTGAAATCTTACTTACACGAGGTCATGAAGCCGCACGCTCCTGGCAGGCTGGAGGGTGCGTCGGCCTGGTCCCTGTCCTGGGACACCACTATCAACTCGGTCACAGTCCGGAGACACTACTATCAACTCCACTCTAGATGAGAAAAACAGAGAAATTAAATAACTCTACCAAGATTACGTAACTGGAAGGCAGCAGAGCAGGCGGAAGTAGGGGAGGCGAGGGAACCCGGCCCAGGAACCTGCAAACCTAGTATCACGACCCCGGCCCACCCCCACCTCCATCCGCGAACCAGGCGGAAACCTGCCCTGAACCGCTTCTATTCCCAAGCGGAGCGCAGGCGGCACCTGCGGGTCCCACGCCCAGGCAGAGCAAGAAGACACCTACCGGATCCGCACTCCCTCACTCACCTCCCAGCAGGTACTGATGACTCCCGTGCCTCACTCTCCAGAATCTCCCAGAGAAACAAGGCATACAGCTCTTCCCTTCCAGAGCGGAAGTGGCTCTGACTACCGGCGCTTCTGGACTACAATTCCCAGAATCCTCTACAAGGTAGTGTTTATATTAGGCAGTCCCGTATAAAGAATACAATTGGACCGGTTTGGCTCAGTGGTTGAGCCTGGACCCGAGCACACACAAGTCATCTGTTCGGTGCCTGGTCCTATTTCCAGTGATAGGAGGTGGCCAACCATGTTCTCCCTCATCGATGTTTCTATCTCTGTCTCCTTCTCCCTTCCTCTCTAAAAGCAATAAAGGAACACACACACACAAAACATGTGCTGGGTCAGTTAAGTCAATTCTCAGACCCTAGGGTCTGACTGCCCGCCCCTCAAACCCTGTCCCCCCATCTATTTTCTTTTCCTTTTTTTCCCCCCTTCTTTACTTTTTCTAAATTTTAAAAAACCACAGTACTAATAAGTGTGACTAAAACACAAATGTGGCTGAACAGGACAGAAAGGCAAACAGAGGATGTCAAAATCGGTTTGATGCTGTTACTTTTAGTCTCTTTGTGCCTAGATGCATTTAAATCTCTGACGGTTTGGCTTGTTGTGAACCATTCATTCCAAACTGTCCTCAAGGTCAGGGAACTATTTCAAAAGGTCCAATGCTTTGAAAACTGAGGACAAAGCAACTCTCAAAGGGGCTGAGATTTGGTGTCAGAGAGCCACTGTCCTCACCCACTGAGACCAGGTTCCTGAAATTCTCCACCATCACATCTTGGTACAGCTTCCACTGGACAGGGTCCAGCAGCCCCAGCTCCTCCTCGGTGAAGACCACAGCCACGTCCTTGAAGGTCACCGCTTCCTACGACACCAAACACACTCCACCTAAATCTTGCAAAAAAGATCCAGTGGAAGAAGGCAGCATCAAGAAGTTAGAGGATTGCCAAAAAATTGGTTACAGAGATAGAAGGACCCCAGGCAACTTTTAATTCCAACAGTTGTCTCTCTCTCACCATCTCCTCCCTGCCTCCACACAAAGCTTGGGCTCTATCACTGTTTTGTTTTGTTTTGAATCTTCACCCGAGGACACTTTTGCATTCATCTTCAGATAGAGCGAGAGGGAGAGAGGGAGGAAGAGAAAGAGAAACATCGGTGTGAGAGAGACATCGACTGGCTGCCACCCACAAGACCCCAACCAGGGCCGGAGATAAAATGCAACCGAGGTACATGCCCTTAGCAGGAACCAAACCCGCTCTCTCTGGACCACGGGCCAACACTCTAACCACTGAGCCAAACCGGCCAGGGCTCTATCACTGTTTTCAACGTTGGCAAAGTTCTCAGGCCTTCAGCAACCCTCCAGGACAGGTCTGTAGCTTATAGCACTTCCTCTGTGTTATCAAGGCACGTGCTACATCTATGTACTGCAGCATTCACAGCTGGTGAAGGCACAAGCTTCAAATGCCAACATATTGATTACAATATGTTGGAGCCCTGGATGGTTTGGTTCAGTGGTTAGACCATTGGCCTGAGGACCAATGAATCATGGGTTCGATTCCAGTCAAGGCTTGGTTTTGGTTTCTTCCTGGCCCTGGCTAGGATCATGCGGGAGGCAAACAGTCGATGTGTCCCTCTCATGTCGATGTTTCTCTCTCTCTCCTATCCCTCCTACTCTATCTGAAGATAAATGGAAAAATATCCTCGAGTGAGGATTAAAAACAACAACAAAAAACAAAAGATGTACAAATTCCTTAACCTCTAACAATCCCTATTTCCTCTTCTCTACAATAGTGTCTAAACTACAAGGTAAGCCCTGGCTGGTTTGGCTCAGCGGTTAGAGCGTCGGCCTGCGGACCAGAGAGTCCCGGGTTTGGTTCCCACTAAGGGCACGTACCTCGGGTGTGATTTGTCCCCGGCCCCGGTTGCGGTCATGTGAGTGGCAGCTACTCGATGTCTCTCTCTCACATTAATGTTTCTCTCTCTCTCTTCCCCCCCCTCTTCCTCCTGCTCCATCTGAAGATAAATGCAAAAATGTCCTCTGGTGAGGATAAAAAACAAACAAATAACTACAAGGTGATTGAAAAGATTAGACAAGTGAATATATGAGAAGCAGTTAAAATGGTGCCTTGCACATAACAAATGCTCAATAAATTTGAACAACTGGTATTGTTATAATCTCTTTCACTCCATTTTGTGATGGCACAGTAGAGTATTCCTTAGAACTGACTAGTTTTTTGCCAGGAACCAGCCTGGAGAGCAAAGTCCCTGAGTTCAAGTGGTGGGAATGAAGACAAAGACACGGATATGAGATCAGAGGACTATCTTCAGCAGGATCAGCCTCAATATGCTTTATTACACACCTTTTATAGCTTACAGCAAAAGTTTAGTGATATAAGAAAACAGGAACTTTTTGATATAATGCCCAGGGCTACAACAACTGCTGTATAAATTCTGTTTGCCTTGCAGATAACAGAAACATCCAGGAACACCCAGTCTGTTATCTCAGCTATTTCAAGGTACACTGGGTCACACTTAGCTCTGAGCTGCATAAACACAATGCAAGCCTAGAGTCTCTGACTCAAGACCTCCAGGCTCCTTGGACTCTGTCAGACACGTAGCCAGCTCCCAACAGTTTTGTTTTTTCTTTCCATTTTTGTGATGATTTATCTTTAATCAATACAAATGTATAATTATGACTTTTTACTTATAATCAATGCTGCAAAGATCCTTTTACAGAAATCTTAGCTAAGAAGTTGCAAATGCAAAGTCATAGAATATGAATTTAAAATTTTTTAAAATCCTCAACCGAGGACATTTTTGCATTTATCTTCAGATAGAGTGGAAGAAAGAGAAGGGGTAAAAGAGAGAGAGAAACATCGATGCAAGAGAGACACATCGAGTGGTTGCCACCTACATGACCCCAACTAGAGCCAGGGACAAACTGCAACCGAGGAAAGTGCCCTTAGCGGGAACTGAACCCGGACCTCTTTGGTCCGCGATCCGACGCTCTATCCGCTGATCCAAATTGGCCAGGGCTGAATTTAAACTTTTTAAAACAAAATGGCAGATTTCTCTCTCTAAAGGTTTTCCCAAGTCACTTTTCATGTTAGGGAGTGCAAATGTCCCTGACTCTCTAGACTCTGGCCACATAGAACATAATCTCTTTTTAAAAAAATCTTCATCAACCTAAGTGTATGAAAGTTTTTATTAACATTTGCACATATTTAGTTATTAATGATCATTACTTTCTACATAAATTTACTTTCTTTTTTTCCTGACATTCTGTTCATTTCTTTTTTTTTTTTTTTCTTGTTAATCCTTACCTAAGGATCTTTTTCCATTGATATTTAGAGAGAAAGAGACAGAGAGAGAAACATTGATGTGAGAGAGAGACATCGACAGGTTGCCTCCTACACAACTCAGACCAGGGCTGGGATCGATCTTGCAATCAAGGTATGTGCCCTTGACTGGGAATCAAACCCAAGACTCTCTGGTCTGCAGGCCGACACTCTAACCACTGAGCTAAATTGGCCAGGGCTATTCATTTCTTTTATTTATATTCCCTTGGGTTTTTCCTTTATCTTATTAGTCTTAATAAGAATGATTAATATTAAGCCTTTACCTAATATATATGAGTATATCCCATCAATTCAATGTATAGGTATGAGTGCATGTGAGAAAGGGATATGGGAAAGTGAAAACAGCTAGTTTGTACAACAGGGTAGTAATAATGGAAATTATTGTTGTCTATTTCAAATTTCTATTATTTTTTCAAAGATTATTTTGTGATATAATAGTTAAGATAAAATAAAATACACATATACATACACAGAGTCTGGCATACAACATGCACTTAAGATGTGCTGCTTTCCATGAACCTTTCCAAGGAAGAGAAAAAAGATGTGCCTAATTTTTGAGAACTAAAATCACATCTTAGGAGACAGAAAGGAATGTCTTTTTTTTTTTTTTTTTTTAATCCTCACCCGAGGACATTTTTCCATTTTTTGTACAGATAGAGAGGGGAGGGAGAGAGAGGAAGAGAGAGAGAGAGAGAGAAACATCGGAGAAACATTAGGCCGACGCTCTAACCACTGAGCTAAACTGGCCAGGGCAAGGAATGTCTTACTTACCTGAAACTTGGTCATTTTCTCCTGTTCCTTTTGGGGAAGGTCAGAATCCTGAGAAGGCACAACTGGGAAAGGAAAAAGAAGCCAAGAGAAACAGGCCAGGGCTGCCATGAGCCCATGTGGACTTTGCAGAAATTAATAAGAGCACTCCTACTTCCAGGCAGATGCAGCCACATACAGCTTGATAAGCAGAACATGGAAGAGAGTACAGCTACTAATGTGTTGTCAGCCAGGGACCACTGGACAGTGAATAACCCACACAACCAAATGCAGTATCCCTACTATAAGGATTTCTGATCCTGGGGACAGTAAGAAATGAGAGGCATTATAACAACACAAGCGTTAAAAAAAAAAAAAAAAAAAAAAAGTGGGCTCTGGAGTCAGGGGCCTAGGTTTCTTTACTTATTTATTTTATTCTAATTCTTTTTTTTTTTTTTAAATACTGTCTAAGTCTATATAATGGTTTGTATCATAGAGGAGAGTGCACCAGAATTGGTTAGACTTTGTTGCTATAGCAGGCTCAGGTTGTGTCAGTTATGGACCTAGGTTTAAATCCTGGAGAGAATGCTTACCATCTGTGTAAAAGCGGGGATGTTAACAAAACAAAATGTGCTGGCTGCTTTGGTTCAGCAGTTAGAGCATCCACCCATGGTCCAAAGGGTCTGGGGTTTGATTCCCAGTCAAGGGCACGTACGTAGGTTGTAGGTTCAATCCCTGGCCCCCAGGGTTGTGCAGGAGGCAACTGGCTGATGTGTCTCTCTCACATCCATGTTTCTCTCTCTCTCTCTCTTTCACTCTCTCCCCCTCCCTCCTTTCCACTCTATCTGAAAATCAATGGAAAAATATCCTTGGGTGAGGATTAATAAAAAATAAATAAAACTAAACCTCTCTGTGCCTCACTTCGGTCATCTGCACAATGATAGGACAAGAATTATATATCACACCCACCTAATACAGTTGTTCCAAGGACTAAATGATGTAGATGGAAAGTTCTAAGAACCAGGAATCCCTTTTCCTTGTAGCTACAAAAAAAAAAAAAAAAAGCAGAAAATACTTTGCATCATAAATCATACAAATACTTCTTGACTTAGGTTGCAGTTATGTCCCAGTAAAGTCATTGTAAATTTGAAAACACCGTAAGTTAAAAATGCAGTTAAACCCTGGCTGGTTTGGCTCAGCAATTAGAGCGTTGGCCCATGGACCAAAGAGTCACAGGTTTGATTCCAGTCAAGGGCCCGGATCTTGGTTGCAGTTCATCCCTGGCCCTGGTCGCGGTCGTATGGGAGGCAACCAGTTGATGTGTCCCTCACATGTCTATGTTTCTCTGTTTCTCTCTCTCCCTCCTCCCCACACTCTATCTAAAGATAAATTTAAAAATAATCAAGAGTGAGGATTTTTAAAAATGCAGTTAAGCCCTGACTGGGTACTCATTTTGTTAGAGCTTTGTCCTGATATGCCAGGGTTGGGGATTTGATCTCAGGTCAGGGCACATACAAGAAGCAACCAAGGAATGCATAAATAAGTAGAACAACAAATTGATGTTTCTTTCCCCCTTTCCCTCACCCCCCCCCACTCTCACTCTCTAAAAATCAATCAATAAAATGTTTTTTAAATGCAGTTAATACTCTGAACATAAACATCACATCCTAGCCTACCTTAAATGTCCCCAGAACACTTACAATAGCCTACAGTTGAGCAATTATCTTGACTTTCATCTCGAGAGTAATTCTTCTCTTTCTTCACCAAAGCAGGAGACACAGATGGGTGGTTTGTAGATATGTCAGGATGTGAAAACACAAAACACAATAGGTAAAAAACCTTTTATCCTATGTGCATGGAGATGAAAAAAAACACAAAGCAAAGAGAAAGATACAAAAGTCAAGAAACATGGAAGACAGATTAAAAGGCCCTAACATTTGTCTAATAGGAGTGTGAGAAGAGAATGGAAAAAAATGGCAGAAAGGTCTTATTTCAAGAGATAATTGCTGAGTTCATAACTAGAAATGCTGAACAGTATAAATAAAAATATACTCCCGAAAAAATTATAGTAAAAATCAGGAATGCAAAGAACTAAATAAACCTGAAAACAAAAACAAAAATCCTTAAAGCTCCCACAAAGAAAATATAGTTTACCTAATAGAAATGACCATTAGACTGAAATAGGGAAACAGAATGGCGATCTAAGACAAATAAATAATGTCTCCAAAATGAAGAAAATAACTGTCAACTTTCTACTCTCCGTTAAATGATTATTTACATGAGGGAGAAACAACAAACATTTTAGCTGAACATGATTGAAGAAAATTTATGACTAAATGAACTCTGAAGGAAGCAATGGTAAGAAAACATTTGAAAATACAGGGCGGGTAAAATAAGGTTTACAGTTGTGAGTACATGAAACACAAAGCATTTTAAAATTTTTATTTTAGAAAGGGAGTGAGAGGGAGAGGGAGAGGGAGAGGGAGAGAGAGAGAAAGAAAGAAACACCAATATGACAGACATACATCAAACAATTGCCTCTTGCAGGTGCCCTGACCAGAAATCAAATCTTCAACTTTCCGGTGCATGGGATGATGCTCCAACCAACTGAGCCACACTGGCCAGGGCACAGAGTTTATTTTTTGTATTATTATTTATTATTGTATTATTTTCCATACAAACAACTATAAACCTACTTTTGCCATACCCTGTATGTCTAATAATATCTTTTTTAAAAAATGACCAAGAACAATTAGACAAATTTGAAGGGTGGTTATAATTTAAAAATATATCTATAACCTTTATAACCTAGCCTACAGTTTAAAAAGTGGTAGTGTGTACCCCTTATCAAAATTTTTTTATTTTTATTGTTAAATGTATTACAGATGTTCCTCAATTTTCCCCCATTAACCCCCTCCTCCCCACTCATATCCCCCTCCTGCCTTTTCCCACAGTTGTCTGTGTCCATTGGTTATGCATATATGCATATAAGTTCTTTGGTTTATTTCTTCCCACCCCGCAAACCCCCTACTCTTTGAGGTTTGTCAGTCTAGCAACCAATTTGTACCAATTTGAACCAATTGCTTTTCTCTTCCTGCTTTTAAGAGTCTCTCTTTGTCTTGAACCTTTTGCATTTTGATGATGATGTGTCTTGGTGTGGGCCTCTTGGGGTTCATCTTGTTTGGGACTCTCTGTGCTTCCTGGACTTGTATGTCTGTTTCCTTCACCAAGTTAGGGAATTTTTCTGTCATTATTGTTTCAAATAGGTTTTTGATTTCTTGTTCTCTCTCTTCTCCTCTGGTACCCCCAAGATGCGAATGTTGGCACGCTTGAAGTTGTCCCAGAGGCTCCTTACACTATCCTCATTTTTTTGGATTCTTTTTGCTGTTCTGATTGGGTGTTTTTGCTTCCTTATATTCCAAATCGATGGTTTGCTTCATGGCTTTACCTACTGTACTATTGAATCTGTGTAAATTATTCTTTATTTCAGTTAGTGCCTACTTCATTTCTGACTGGTCCAATTTTATGCTCTTGAGGCCCTCACTAAGTTCGCTGAGGTTCTCACTAAGTCCATCGAGCATCCTTATAAGTAGTGTTTTGAACTCAGCATCTGTTAGGTTGCTTATCTCCATTTCGCTTAGTTCTTTTATTGGGGTTTTGTTCTGTTCTTTCATTTGGGACCTGTTTCTTTGTCTCATTTTGGCTGCCTCCCTGTGTTTGTTTCTGTGTATTACTTAACGAGAGGTATGGGGCTAGCTGAGACCAGATGCTGCTTGTTTGAAAGAATTTAGGAAAACCTGAAACAGGATCCGAGACAGGCCAATCCTATGGTTAATCAACTGGTAACAGCTTGTGTGGGCCTGAAAGTTGGGTGGGGCGGGGCCTCAGGGAATCACCAGGGGGGGCAACCAGTGTGAGCCAGGTTGCTGGAGTCCCAGATAATGGTGGGTGTCTGCTGCCCCAGGGAAGGGCTCACCAAAGGAACAAAGGTCTCTGACTGCACATCTGTCCCAGAGAAAGCCCCCTCTCCAGCCCTTGCTCCAAAGCCAAACAGCTCAGTTCTTCCCTGTATGCCTCTGGCGCCCCTTGAACTGCCTCCCCTCCAAGCTTTGAGGGAGTGAGTCTGATAAGTCTGTGCGCAGGCCCTTTAAGAGGAGCTGCCTGGGGCTCCAGCCACCTCAGCCTCCCTGAGCCTCAGTTCCCGCTGGTTTTCCAGCCAGAGGTTATGCGGACTTCTCTTCCAGGCACTGGAACCCTGAGCTAGGTGCCTGGTGTGGGATGGGGACCCCTCAGTCCTCAAGGAGGACCTTTCCAGCTGAGGTATCCTCCTGATTTTTATCTGCCACACGTGGGTGTGGGACCAGCCTCTCCTCCTCCGCCCCTCCTACCAGTCTCCATGTGGCTGTTTCTTTAATTCTATAGTTGTAGGACTTCCATTCAGCTTGATTTCAGGCTGTTCTGAATGATGGTTGTTCTGTAGTTTAGTTGTAAGTTTGATGTGGTTGTGGGAGGATGTGATACCACGGTTACCTACGCCACCATTTTGACCGGAAGTCTCATCAAATTTTAAGTACACTGTTAGTCTGTATATTTTTCAGAATGAAAATACATGCTAATTTAATTCAGTATTTGTTGAGAGAGTCATTTTTTAAAAATCCTGACCCAAGGATATTTTTCCATTGATTTTATTTTTTTTTTAATCCTCACCGGAGGATATTTTTCCATTTTTTGTACAGATAGAGTGGGAGGGAGAGAGAGGAAGGGAGAGAGAGAGAAACATCGACGTGAAGGGACACATCGAGTGGCTGCCACCCGCATGACCAACCAGGGCCGGGGACAAACTGCAACCGAAGTACATGCCCTTAGCGGGAACCGAACCCGGGTCTCTCCGGACCGCAGGCCGACGCTCTAACCGAGCCAAACTGGCCAGGGCTCCATTGATTTTTTCAGATAGAGTGGGAGGGAGGAAGGGAGAGAAAGAAGCATCAATGTGAGAAAGACACATCAACTGGCTGCCTGCCCCATGACTCCAACAGGGGCTGGGGATCAAACCCACAACCAAGGTACTACTCCTGACGGAAAATGCAGTAAGGTCTGAGGGCCTATGCTCTAACCACTGAGGAAACTGGCCAGGGCAAGAGATCATCGTTTTAATTTTTTTATTTTCTTGGTACATGCCCCTAGCCAGGGCCAAACCCAGGGTTCTCTGGTCCGTAGGCCAAGGCTCCAACCGCTGAGCCAAACCGGCCAGGGCAATAATTCTTTTTAAAAATAAAAAAACAACACACATTCCTATATAATTTCAAAACCACTCCAGAGCAAATAAAAGTAAATAAACTGAAGACAAGAAAAGAGAACAATCACAATAAAGAAATTCAAAGCATAGTAAATGTAAAATAGATATATATTTAAAATATGTGTGTGGTGGCAATACACAAATACACATTAGGAAGTAAATTAAGCATTCTCAGGTTTATTCAACAAACAGTTGAACATTTTGCTAGCTGTAATTTACCGAGTGAGGGAAACCTTCCCAACTGAAAACAGAGACGACTGACCGGGCAAGTACCTGAGCACCTACCGGGGCAGTGCTGTGAGGGGCCGGCAAGTCCCTCCTTCCTGCCCAGATGAATTCAGGGGGCGCTGACGAAAAGGATCAAGTGAGACGGTGCGATTAGGTCTGTCTCCCCGACAACCTGCGGAGGACATCGTCAGGCACTCGCGCGGTGCGACTCGGTGCTTCCTTAAAAAGAGATGAAAACTCAGTCAAGTTCGGGACGAGCTCTCTCCGGGAGGGCGGCAGGCGGGCCACGGCCTCGCTCCTTGAGCCCCGACCGCCTCTCTCCCGGCACTGGGGAGGGCATGACCTGTACTCGTCATCAAGTGCCACCACCGTCCTCAGCTTTGGACACGTATAGCCTCCTTTAATTCTAATCACAACCCTCCCCAGTAGTTGCTGTCTCTCCCGCTGTCTCACGGAGGAGGAAAGTAGGGCCCAGAGAAAAGAAACAACTCGCCTTATGTCGTACCGATGGAACGCTGCTCGGTAAGCGGGGCAGAAGAGCTTCCGCCCTCAGACTCTCAGCCTCCGCCGGCGGCCGAGACTCCTCCATCCCCGGACAGCCGCTGCCGCAGCGACTGGTCCCGCGCTCGGGCCGACAGGGCTCGCACGGCTCTTGGGAGCGCAGGGCTGACTCACCCACCCGGACCGAAAACCAGGTGACAGCCTCGCTTTCCCGGGCCGGAAGTGCCTCCGACTACTCGGTGCTCCCGAACTACATTTCCCAGAAGACCCTTGTTTCCTGCCAGAGTTGGGAAATAATTTCCCAGAACTCCCAGCGGAGGAAGCACCAAGTCCGCCCCATTAGTACTACAGTGATACCTCGGTTCTCGAACGCCTCGGTTCTCGAACGCCTCGGTTCTCGAACGCCTCGGTATTCGAACGCCTCGGTTCTCGAACGCCTCGGTTCTCGACCAAATCTCGACCAAATCTGTATTCGACCAGGAGATTCGAAAAACTTTCGTCTTGGAATCCGCACAAATAAGTGATACCTCGGTTCTCGAACGCCTCGGTTCTCGAACGCCTCGGTTCTCGAACGCCTCGGTATTCGAACGCCTCGGTTCTCGAACGCCTCGGTTCTCGAACGCCTCGGTATTCGAACGCCTCGGTTCTCGAACGCCTCGGTTCTCGACCAAATCTCGACCAAATCTGTATTCGACCAGGAGATTCGAAAAACTTTCGTCTTGGAATCCGCACAAATAAGTGATACCTCGGTTCTCGAACGCCTCGGTATTCGAACGCCTCGGTTCCCGAACGCCTCGGTATTCGAACGCCTCAGTATTCGAACGCCTCGGTTCTCGAACGCCTCGGTTCTCGACCAAATCTCGACCAAATCTGTATTCGACCAGGAGATTCGAGAAACTTTCGTCTTGGAATCCGCACAAATAAGTGATACCTCGGTTCTCGAACGCCTCGGTTCTCGAACGCCTCGGTTCTCGAACGCCTCGGTATTCGAACGCCTCGGTTCTCGACCAAATCTCGACCAAATCTGTATTCGACCAGGAGATTCGAAAAACTTTCGTCTTGGAATCCGCACAAATAAGTGATACCTCGGTTCTCGAACGCCTCGGTATTCGAACGCCTCGGTTCTCGAACGCCTCAGTATTCGAACGCCTCGGTATTCGAACGCCTCGGTTCTCGAACGCCTCGGTTCTCGACCAAATCTCGACCAAATCTGTATTCGACCAGGAGATTCGAGAAACTTTCGTCTTGGAATCCGCACAAATAAGTGATACCTCGGTTCTCGAACGCCTCGGTTCTCGAACGCCTCGGTTCTCGAACGCCTCGGTTCTCGAACGCCTCGGTTCTCGACCAAATCTCGACCAAATCTGTATTCGACCAGGAGATTCGAAAAACTTTCGTCTTGGAATCCGCACAAATAAGTGATACCTCGGTTCTCGAACGCCTCGGTATTCGAACGCCTCGGTTCTCGAACGCCTCGGTATTCGAACGCCTCGGTTCTCGAATGCCTCGGTTCTCGAACGCCTCGGTTCTCGACCAAATCTCGACCAAATCTGTATTCGACCAGGAGATTCGAAAAACTTTCGTCTTGGAATCCGCACAAATAAGTGATACCTCGGTTCTCGAACGCCTCGGTATTCGAACGCCTCGGTTCTCGAACGCCTCGGTATTCGAACGCCTCGGTTCTCGAACGCCTCGGTATTCGAACGCCTCGGTTCTCGAACGCCTCGGTTCTCGACCAAATCTCGACCAAATCTGTATTCGACCAGGAGATTCGAGAAACTTTCGTCTTGGAATCCGCACAAATAAGTGATACCTCGGTTCTCGAACGCCTCGGTATTCGAACGCCTCGGTTCTCGAACGCCTCGGTATTCGAACGCCTCGGTTCTCGAACGCCTCGGTATTCGAACGCCTCGGTTCTCGAACGCCTCGGTTCTCGACCAAATCTCGACCAAATCTGTATTCGACCAGGACATTCGAAAAACTTTCGTCTTGGAATCCGCACAAATAAGTGATACCTCGGTTCTCGAACGCCTCGGTTCTCGAACGCCTCGGTTCTCGAACGCCTCGGTTCTCGAACGCCTCGGTTCTCGACCAAATCTCGACCAAATCTGTATTCGACCAGGAGATTCGAAAAACTTTCGTCTTGGAATCCGCACAAATAAGTGATACCTCGGTTCTCGAACGCCTCGGTATTCGAACGCCTCGGTATTCGAACGCCTCGGTTCTCAAACGCCTCGGTTCTCGACCAAATCTCGACCAAATCTGTATTCGACCAGGAGATTCGAGAAACTTTCGTCTTGGAATCCGCACAAATAAGTGATACCTCGGTTCTCGAACGCCTCGGTTCTCGACCAAATCTCGACCAAATCTGTATTCGACCAGGCGATTCGAGAAACTTTCGTCTTGGAATCCGCACAAATAAGTGATACCTCGGTTCTCGAACGCCTCGGTATTCGAACGCCTCGGTTCTCGAACGCCTCGGTTCTCGAACGCCTCGGTATTCGAACGCCTCGGTTCTCGAACGCCTCGGTTCTCGAACGCCTCGGTATTCGAACGCCTCGGTTCTCGACCAAATCTCGACCAAATCTGTATTCGACCAGGAGATTCGAAAAACTTTCGTCTTGGAATCCGCACAAATAAGTGATACCTCGGTTCTCGAACGCCTCGGTATTCGAACGCCTCGGTTCTCGAACGCCTCGGTATTCGAACGCCTCGGTTCTCGAACGCCTCGGTTCTCGAACGCCTCGGTTCTCGACCAAATCTCGACCAAATCTGTATTCGACCAGGACATTCGAAAAACTTTCGTCTTGGAATCCGCACAAATAAGTGATACCTCGGTTCTCGAACGCCTCGGTATTCGAACGCCTCGGTTCTCGAACGCCTCGGTATTCGAACGCCTCGGTTCTCGAACGCCTCGGTTCTCGAACGCCTCGGTTCTCGACCAAATCTCGACCAAATCTGTATTCGACCAGGAGATTCGAAAAACTTTCGTCTTGGAATCCGCACAAATAAGTGATACCTCGGTTCTCGAACGCCTCGGTATTCGAACGCCTCGGTTCTCGAACGCCTCGGTATTCGAACGCCTCGGTTCTCGAACGCCTCGGTTCTCGACCAAATCGGTATTCGACCAGGAGATTCGAGAAACTTTTGTCTTGGAATCCGAACAAATATTTGGAAGTCGAACTTCCGAGATGAGCCGAGTTGAGCCGAATGGCGTTCATTCGGCCCAGCGCGCCTTGCTTGCGTCATCAGTGTGAGTGCAGAGAGAGAGTCACGCTTTGTGGAGAGAGTCACGCTTTGTGGAGAGAGTTACACTTTACACTGAATTTAACCCTTAGACATACTGTACACTTTTATTTCTTGTTGAGACTTATGGTTTTCTACATATTATATACAAATTAGGCCAGTAAATAGGCATTTTCTGGGGCTTGGAACGAATTAATCCAGTTTCCATTATTTCCTATTGGGTTTCATTGCTTCGGTTCTCAAACAATTTGGTTCTCGACCGTCCTCCTGGAACGAATTATGTTCGAGAACCGAGGTATCACTGTATTTAAAAAAAAAAAAAATCACCCAACTCTGGAAGTTCCAGGCCCACAAGCCTACAACTTCCAGAAACCCCTTTAATGGCTTCCCGCCATTTTCCCGGCCTCGAGCAGTTCTCTGAGGCCAGTAGAGTTGAGCCTTTTCTCATTAACAAATAAAGCATGTCAGCAAATATTTGAAATTAGTCTTATAAGAAACAGATAACTTGATGCTTTGCTGGTAGAATTGTACCCACTACTGCCAGAAAAGGTAAAAAATGATAGCCTCTACTTTGCGTTTTAAACACTTTTTAGATATAAAAAGAATGAAAGACAAAAAAAAAATGCAATGGAGGCAGAATACATTGTATATTTCCACTTTTGTTAATAGCACAAATAATTCGGAACTGACCTATCGAGGACAACTAGAGATACTCTATAAGTGAATAGACAAGCTTCGGCATAGACTTGTAAGATCAACTTCTCAAAGTGAAACCAGAACAAAGGTGTCCGTGCTACCTGTCACTACTAGAGTCAATAATGTGCTACCTGTCACTACTAGAGTCAATAATTAGAGATAAGGCTGAATCTTTGAGGTGCTTTTATTCAGATGCTGGAGATCTGAAAAACCATTCCGGTGTTTTGTCTCAAGCCACCCATTATATAGTGTTAGAGGGTGGGAAAGAATAAAAAACAATGTTTCCAGGGTCTGTTTTCTATAATTGTCCTCGTGAACATTAGCCCCCAGACCTTGTCTCCCTTGAGGCATGTCCTGCCCTTGATCTGCTCTCAAAATGTATCTTCTTTCTGAGTGATGGAGCTATCTGGACTTCAAGGTCGATTATCTTTACGACTCTGTTTTTCCTTTTTTTTTTTTTTTAATCCTCACTTGAGGACATTTTTTTCCAGGGACACATCGAGTGGCTGCCACCCACATGACCCAACCAGGGCTGGGGACAAAGTGCAACTGAGGTACCTGCTGTTAGCGGAAACTGAACCCGGGTCGATGCTCTAACCGCTGAGTCAAACTGGCCAGGGCGACTCTGTTTTTCTTCATATAGCATGTCCTCTACAGTTCTGCAGGATCTATAAGAAAATCTCTTATCTACAGCTAGTACTTTCAAGAGTTATTAATCAACTGTGATTCTATTCTTATTGCATACCCGTCCTCTATCAAAAGCAAAAGGGTCTCTGGCCAATGGGGCTCAGTGCTGAATGGTTAGAGCATAGGCGTGCACACAAAAGGGTCGTGGGTCGGATTCCTGGTTAAGGACAGTACCTGGTTGCATGTACAGTCCCAGCCCTGTCAGGAGCATGCAGGAGGCAGCCAGTTGTCTCTCTCTCACACTGATATTTCTCTTTCTCTCTCTCCTCCCCCTCCACTCTCTCTAAAAAGCAATGGGAAAATATCCTTGGGTGAGGATAAACAACAACAAAAAAGCAATAGGGGCCATTGAAATAATTATTTGGGTAATTATGAATTTCAAAGATGAACACATTAATGTTAATTAGATGTTTAAGCATGGTTACTGAATAGATTATTATTATATCCATCACTATATATTTGCATTTTTCATTTACTGAACATATATTCCTTATTGTGTTATACAAAACTATCTCCTGTGGGAGACATTTTGCATGGCATCCATTTTGTTAAAATCTGCTCTGCCATCACCTTCCCCAAGGCAGGATGTCTCTGCCTTCTGCATTTCTTTATCTCTACATTTCTTTAAGTAAAATCTGCTCTGCCATCTCCTGCCCCAAGGCAGGATATCTCTGCTTTATCTCTGCATTTTGAACCATTTACTCAGTCTTTTGTTCCACCCGTGCTTGGGGTGGTTACTCAATAACTTGATAACAAATGATCTTGTTTTTCCTGCCCTATATATTGTGTAAATTTCCCCAGAATAAACGAGACTTGATCAGAATCCTGTCTTGTCTCCATTTCTCGTGTCTCTTGTCCCTCCTCATCCTCACTCCCCCTCTAGAGTCCTCGTTGCTCAACCTGCAGGACGGGTCAAGTGGCGCCCAACGTGGGGCTCCAGCACGGGGGATCCAGTGAAGGACGCCATTCGAGTGGCCGGCAGAAAGGAAAGCAAAGAAAAAGAAAAGAAAAGAAAAGAGGGAACGACGTGGGAACCTGCTGCGTCTGCACCCCTCGGGTAAGTGAACGGCGATCATGGGGCAAGAAATGAGTAAGCATGAATTATTTGTGGAACAGTTAGGTCATGCATTAAAGGCACGAGGAGTAAAGGTGAAAGTAAAACATTTATGTAAATATTTTGATTATATCAAAGATCTCTGCCCTTGGTTTCCTATTGAGGGAACTATTGATCCAAAGAGATGGAAAAGGGTTGGAGATGCCTTACAAGATTTTTATAATACCTTTGGGCCGGAGAAGGTCCCTGTTACAGCATTTTCATATTGGAACCTCATAAATGAGCTATTGTCTCAAAGGCAATCTGATCCTGTGGTAGCAAATGTCGTAGAAAAAGGGCAAACTATATTACAGGAGACAAAATTAACCCCAGAGCCACCTAAAGACAGTAAGGAACAGGAAGATTTAATTTCACTGGAAAGTGAGGAAGAAGAGGAGGATGCAGTAGCAGAAGTAAGGGTAAAAATTAAATGCAAAACCCCAAAAAAGAAAAAGGCAAAGGAATTGGTGGCCGGAACTAAACCTAAAATTCATCCATCCCTTACTGAATTAGAGGTTGAACAGCACATCTCCAGTGAGGAGGAGAGTGACGACGAAAATAAGAGTAAAGATGACACCCAAGGCCGACCCTCGAGAGGTTGGCTGGGATGATTTAGCTGATCAGGCTGCCAGATATCATAATAAAAATTACTGGCCACCCCCATATACAGCTGCCTTGCCCTCAGCTCCTGCTGCTTTCCCTATCATTGATCCTCAGAAACAATTGAGAGATAAAATAGAGTACTTAAAAGAACAAATAAAATTAGAAAAGGAACACCAAGATTTAACTGGACAATTAGAAAGGCTAAAAACTGGGAAGCCTGCTCCACCTTTGAACAATCCTAACAGGCCAGCCAAAGGGAATAATAAACAAAAGCCACTTAAAACTCCCCCTGCGCCTCTTTTACCACTCTTAAATGAGGAGCCTGAAGCGTATCCCGTAACAGAAACAACAGACGCACAAGGCCAGGCTTGGAGGCATCATACTGGATTTGACTTTAAAGTTATTAAAGAGTTAAAAACTGCTGTGGCTCAATATGGTGCTACCGCTCCTTATACTATGGCTATTCTTGAGTCCATAACTGATCAGTGGCTTACACCCAGTGAGTGGCAGACTTTGGCTCGAGCTACTTTGTCAGGTGGAGACTACCTATTATGGAGGTCTGAATATGTCGAGGTCTGTCGCGACATGGCCCGACGGAATGCACAGGCTAATAATGGATGGAACTTTGATATGCTCATAGGAGAGGGCAATTATGCCCTGAGTGATAATCAAATGCAGTATGATCCCGGATTATTTTCTCAAATACAATCTGCAGGCATTAGAGCCTGGAGAAAGCTCCCTACAAAAGGAGACATGAGTGCTTCGCTTACTAACATTAAACAGGGCCCAGACGAGCCTTTTGCTGATTTTGTCCACAGATTAATTACAGCTGCTGGTAGGATTTTCAGTAGTGCAGATGCCGGAGCTGATTTTGTTAAACAATTGGCATTTGAAAATGCTAACGCTGCCTGTCAGGCTGCCATTAGACCTTATAAAAGGAAGACAGATTTAAGTGGCTATATTCGCCTATGCTCTGACATAGGCTCAGCTTATCAGCAAGGCTTGGCCATGGCGGCTGCCATGCAAGGTTTTACAGTTAAGCAGTTTCTGGCACAGCAACAAGGGAAAGGGAAATGTTTTAATTGTGGGGAAATAGGACATTTCGCTCGAAACTGCAAAGGAAAAAGGGATTCTACACCCAGTACCAAACCAGCCCCTGGGTTATGTCCTCGCTGTAAAAGGGGATATCACTGGGCTAATGAATGTAAATCAAAGAAAGATATACAAGGGAATCCATTGCCTCCGCTTCAGGGAAGTGGGGCCAGCCCCAGGCCCCAAAACCCAAACAAATCTATGGGGCAATGAGTTTTGTTCCTCCAAACAACAACAACAATCCATTTCAGACCTCTGCCGAGCCACAACAGGGAGTGCAGGATTGGACCTCTGTTCCTCCACCTACTCAGTATTAACCCCTGAAATGGGAGTTCAGGCATTATCAACAGGAATTTATGGACCTCTGCCTGAAAATACTTTTGGGCTCATTCTAGGTCGTAGCAGTGTTACATTGCAAGGGCTACAAGTGTTTCCGGGAGTAATTGATAATGATTATACTGGAGAGATTAAGGTTATGGTTGCCTCTCCTCGAAACATTAATACCATTAATTCTGGCCAGCGCTTTGCTCAACTCCTGCTTTTACCTATGTTGCCCACTACTAACAAGGTTGTTGGAGGACAAAGAGGATCTGGAGGGTTTGGATCGTCCAATGTTTATTGGGCTGAGACCATCACTACTCAAAAACCTATAATGACCCTATGGTTAGATGGAAAGGAATTTTCTGGGCTCATTGATACAGGTGCGGATGTAACTATAATTAAGAAAGAATGTTGGCCGTCCTCCTGGCCATTAGAAGAAACTCTTACTCACTTAAAAGGTATTGGACAAAGCACCAACCCAGAGAGAAGTTCCAAACTCCTAACTTGGAAGAATTCAGAAGGCCATCAGGGAACCGTCCAGCCATTTGTCATAGCAGGCCTTCCTATTAATCTTTGGGGTCGTGATCTATTATCTCAAATGGGAATGATCATGGGAAGTCCAAACACTGTTATTACGGCTCAAATGTTAAATCAAGGATATGTACCAGGAAGGGGTCTGGGTAAAGTCAGCCAAGGCATAATTGAACCTTTAATCCCTACAGGAAACACTCAGAGAACAGGATTAGGGTATTTCTCCTAGGGGCTGCTGATTCTCCTGTAACTCATGCAGACAAAATAAGTTGGTTATCCGATAGTCCTGTGTGGGTTGATCAGTGGCCTCTGAGTGCTGAAAAATTGCAGGCTGCACATCAATTGGTACAGGAGCAGTTGGCAGCTGGACATATAACAGAAAGTAATTCCCCATGGAATACTCCTATATTTGTCATCAAGAAAAAATCAGGAAAATGGAGGTTAATACAAGACTTAAGGGCTGTTAACAAGACTATGGTTCTGATGGGAGCGCTACAACCAGGCCTCCCTTCCCCAGCAGCTATCCCTTTGGGATATTATAAGATAATAATAGACTTAAAGGATTGTTTTTTCACTATACCTTTACATCCGGAGGATCAAAAAAGATTTGCATTTAGTTTACCATCTATTAATTACAAAGAACCTATGAAAAGATATCAATGGAAAGTTCTCCCCCAAGGCATGGCTAATAGCCCTACCCTATGCCAGTCATTTGTTGCTACTGCCCTTCAACAAATCAGGAATGATTGGGCACAGATGTATATTATTCATTACATGGATGATATCCTCATTGCAGGTGAACAGGAATCTCAGGTTCAGCGATGTTTTGCGGAAATGCAAAAGGCCTTACAATTCTATGGCTTAATTGTTGCCCCTGAAAAAGTGCAAGTAACTGACCCATATACATATTTAGGATTTCAGCTACAAGGAACTCGTATTTCATCCCAGAAAATAGAATTACGATTAGACAAATTACATACACTCAATGATTTCCAAAAGTTACTCGGGGATATTAATTGGCTAGTTCCCTATTTGAAACTTAGTAAATACGAATTGAGACCCCTGTATGACATCTTACAGGGAGATACTGACCCTAACTCCCCTAGACAACTTACCCCAGATGCACGGCAGTCATTGAAAATATTAGAACAGGCCATACAAAATCAGGGTACCACATTTATAGATTATAGACAGCCATTAAAGTTTATAATCTGTGCTACTAAACAATCTCCTACAGCCGTATTTTGGCAGACATCTCCCCTACTATGGCTTCATTTGCCT